AGCTGCTGGGTTTTCCTTCCTAACTCAAGCTTGTGCTCCCTCATTTATCTGTGTCAGGTTAATTCATATTAAAAAATGAATGAATAATTGATTCATTCATTAGCTGGATGTGACATCCAGAAGAGTTAATAAAATGTAATCTCTAAAAATGGGTCTGGGAAGATTTTCCCCGGTGCAGTAATTCATCATCTGGTTCCAGCTTTACATCATGTTATTAAATTCAGACTCAATGGTACAATATTCATCAAGTGAAAAACAGAGCAAGAGGTCTAAAGTAGCCATGTATAGTACAGAAAATAAGCTCCATTGTGTGTTTAGCCACATTTGGCTTCATGCACGGCTTCAAGGTCTCAAAACAAAAAGGTATCATAAGCGTTTGTAGAAATAGTATGAATGTCCGATTTTTACTGCCCTCTTGCTGCTGTAATGTTGCACATTTCCCACCTATGGCATGAATACAGGATTATCTTATTTTATTTTGTGATCTAATCACAATATACAAAATGTTCATGTATGCTATAGAATTGTATTTTGCCAGCAGGCTGCAAGGAAGGAGATATTATTCCAATCTGAAAATATATATCTTACATTAATGAAACAGATAAACTACTGGGTCTTATCTGTATCTGACATATATCATTTAAACATGTCTATATTTCTTCTTTCCTTCCTCAAACTATATTATTCTTTGTGATTAGTACATTCTTTTATCTTATCTTTATGTTGAGGAGATAGGAAGCATTTCACAGCACGTTGTTCTGTGTATGGTTGGTGTATGTGACAATTAAAATAAATATTCTGAACTGGAGTATCAATGAAATAGTTTAAGGGGGGGGTCATGTATAATAGACGTCAACATTTTTAAGTATAACATAAATCTACCCTCAAAGTTCATACTGTTCAAGGCTGTATGTGTGCATATGAAGTGCTGTTTAGTTCTAAGTGCTTTTCTTTGCCCTCTTCCACCCCTGCACCCATTCGTCGAGCGTAGTTGTGGCTCTGGGTTAAGCTTGAAGTGCTGGTCAGCTCCACTCCGTCCCACCACGAGCCCTGGAGGCAGATTTGTTCTAATGGGGGAGGGAGACTCTCTTCTCATTCACCTCTTCACTGAAATGTCAACATGAAAATAAATATGACTCCCTCGATCCGCTTGATGTCCCTCCTCTGGCCGCATGTTCCCGGCCTCCCTCTAATCCTCCCCTGCCGTCCTGCGTGTCCCAGAGCTCACCCGGCCTCCCTCTAATCCTCCCCTGCCATCCTGCGTGTCCCAGAGCTCACCCCCCCTCCCGAGTCCTCTGACTCCCTGCACCCCGCATACACTGGAGCCCACCACTCCAAGCTGCACTTTATCGTCATCCATTCCACCCTCATCCACACTTACTATTGGAGACTCAAATATGAGATACGTTAGGAAAAAATCTCTTGCTTTTCAGGCCTTAAAGTGGATGTCATTACGGACAAGGGCGGCTGTGGCTGAGGGGGTAGAGCAGTTATCCTCCAACCTTCGAATACCAGCCTATGCCGAAGTGTCTTTGGGAAAGATGCTGAACTTTCATTTCAACTTCCATCCTTCTGCAGATGTAACTCTCTTTTTATCTCAATGAACTCTGTTAACTCAGTACTCTTAAGAACTGCATCCATGACCTCAAGCTCATGCTGGATGACCCAAAGCTTTGTCAGACTGAAGTAATGATGATTGGCCCTGATTCAGTTAACACCAATACAGCTAAACATCTGGGCTCTCTATCTTACAATATCAATCAAAACGGACAAAACCTCAACATACTCTTTTATGACAAACAAACATGTTAATAAAGTTGTCCAGTCATTTTTTCTGCAACTCAATTTTACCCAGAGATAATCTCAACATTGTGGTACAATAAATAAATAAATAAATAAAACAAATGGAGATGGGAAAAAACAAGATGGGACCTGGACCATGTTAAATATTTTTTCCCAAAGATGGTTTCTGTTGTTTTAGGTAATACTTATCACACTGATGTATGTTCATGTTCATGTTTCTGATAAGTTTGGTTTTAATTTGTTATTTAATGCTATGAAAAAATTGGGTAAAAAGTCTGACAAATGAGAAATCAATACCATGGCTTCTCTCCAAAACTGACAGATAAAATGTTTCTGTAGACGTTTGAGTTCACTCTGCTGCTCTACCATTTCGATTTACATCACCTGCAGCAGCCATGACACCACCTCCTCCGAGCATCTTAGATACAATTGGATCATGAGCAGATCCACTCCTTCTCCACACTTTTCTTTTAATTCTGTGTGGTAGATTATTATAAAGTCCAGAACACTCTGTCCCAACGCTTGTGCGGTTCAGCTTTTGACTTTTTATTGAATTCTAATGTGTCCTTCAGATTCTTTCTACTGATGACTGGTTGTTGGTTTGCCCTCCTCAGTATATTAATGCTCTCAAAGGCTCTTTTGAATTAGGCTTTTTCTTCACAGCTCTCACAAAGACTCTGTCATCAGCTGCTGCTGCTGTTGTTGCTTAACCTGTTCGATGTCTGTTGCTCAGAACACCACCTATTTATCTCTTTTTGTTGTACTGGCTATGCCTGTTGTTTGTGCAATGGCTCTGATCGATTTTCTCTCTTTTCTCTGCTTCAAAATGGTTTGTTTTTCTCTCATAGTCATCTCTCTGCACCTCATGATTGTTTATCCTCGTAAACCACAGCACAGTCGTCACAGGTAAAACCCAAAGCTAAAACCAAGACCAATATTTTTGAATACTTCAGTGGGTTCGAATAAAAGGTGCTGCGTCCTCATTTGTCGAACACATCTCAATGTTAACACAAGGAAATAAAAGCAACATCTCTGAACTCATCTATCATTCATCTTTTGGTCTTAAACCTAAATGTCGTCGGTGTGCAACAGAAAAAATATCCAGCAAAAGTTCTGAAGGCGGCTGCATATATACATATATGATTTACTGTAATCCGATCTGTGTTTTACTCACAGGCTCTAAAAATCTTCATGGGGCAATAGAAAATCACATTCTCAACCATCATACCTGCAGGGAAAATCAGCCTACAAATTGGTACTTGATGTCCCCTTAATCATTGCACGTCTCCCCCAGGAAGCCAGAAAAGAACTGTGTCTCTTCTCCCATATAAAGCTGCAGAATAATTGTCGTTGAAACTTTGCACAAAGGTAATAGTCTAGAAAACTGTCTTCTCCCTTCAGGGACTGTTTACCCCATTACTTCTGTTTCAACCTTGACATAATGGCCCTTTGTCCCCAGTTAACCTCTCTTACTCATCCACTCTGCTTCAGTGATACCCTGTTGTGTTCTTACTGCTGACAGAAAAAGGCCACAACAGGCTGGACCCAAGGGAGAGCAAATGCAAAATGAAAATTCACTCATTTTCTACTCTCCACTATGCCGATGAAGTAGTGGGTGAAGTGAGCGATAGCTGCAATGCGAGTTCTTGCGAGACGAGATCAGTGAGATCGCTGCAGTTACTTCAATTGTAGTGGATTTGGCTGCAACGCTGTTTACCCCTGAGACTCCAAAAGTATTTTGTCAACTCAAACACGTCACTCACCCCGCCATTAACACAGTGGTGAGCAGATAATGAGTGTGTTTTCCTTTTTCAGTGAACAATCCCTTTAAAGTCAGCTGCACACGCTGATCCCACTGCAATAACCTGCTTTCTGTGATCTGGGTACCGACTGAGAGTGTAAATACACTGCCTCAAAAATTAAGGGAACACTTAATTGTCACAGTGTTACACTGACTCAGTGTTAGGAAGCACAAGTGATTGTGAATCAGTTTCAGTTGCTTTGGTGTAAATGAAAGTGGCCACAGGTGCAATGGAGAGGCAAAAGCCAGACAAACCCCAAATAGGGAATGGTTTTGTGGTGTCTACAGACAACTGCTCTCTCCTAGAATAGAACCAGTCAGCATCCTTGCCGACTGATTCTTCTCAAGCTTTGTGTTCTGCTGGTGTCCCTGTCAGTACTGGTAGCATGAGGCGGTACCATTGGTTGTCCAGCTCCTCCAGGATTGCACGTCCCGACATTGTCTAGTGGTACCTGTGCTCACAGCCCAGCACCATGCAGCTCAATTGGCATTTGCCAAGAAATCCTCCGAGTGTTTGTCAGACCTTACGATGGTGCAGTGGGCATGGGTTCCTCCTGGTGCAGGACAATGCCTCATGTGGCCAGAGTGTGTAGGCAGTTCCTGGATGATGAAAGCATTGATGCCATTGACCGGCCCTCACATTTCCCTGAACTAAATCCTATTGAGCACCTGTGGCACGTTATGTATCGATGCATCCGACACGACCAAGTACCGTAACAGACTGTCCAGGAGCTCAATGATGCCCTGATCCAGGTCTGGGAGGAGATCCCCCAGGACCCCATCTGCCGACTCATCAGAAGCAGGCCCAGGTGTTCTCTGGCGTGCATTCAGGCACGACGAGGCCATATGATTTTCAGTGTGGTTTTGAATCCAGCTTTCAATGGGTTGATGATTTTGGTTTTCATTGACCGTTGTTATGTCATTTTGCTCAAATTATACAATGAGTAAAGATTATCAACTTGAATAATTCGTTCATCAAGATCTTATGTGTGATCTAAGAGTTCCCTTACTTTGTTGGATATCCTAGGTTGGATATAGGAAGCCAACAGCATGCAATTAACCGTTACTCTCTTCTTAACACGATCATTTATATCAACCTTTTTCTATGATCACTCATTTCCTCTCCATTTACTCTAATGACTATAATAGCCTCCGGTGTCTCCTCAGAGCACCCTGACATTTCATGATTGCTCCAAAGTCAGACAACGATAAAATGAACAGTATTATCCACTAAATGGCTAATGTTGATGGAAGTGCAATTAGAAACAAAATAAGTGACTCGCTGTGAGCCAGCACCATCTGCTGGTACCAAGCACAAATTTATCCCACCAATGGTGTAGCAGTTTCTTTTAATGGTCAAATAATACTTGTCGTAACTGGACCTTTTACGATCATGTAAGATTGATCCATTCCCAAACAGGGCCATATTTTTTTTAGAAACAATCTTATTTAAGTTTTTCTCTGGTTTATATCTTTGTAAATTGTATATTTTTGGACCATACAACATAACTGAAAATGTCCCATTTGGTTTGTGAAATAGTTTAGAGCATTTCCCTTACAGACAAAACAAAGGAATCAATAACAGACAGATTAATCTGCTCAATGAAATTTGATAAGTTGGACCCTGAACGCCTCCCCTGGAGCCTTGCTCAAGGGCACCACAGCAGCAGTAATGAGTGAGATACTCTCCCAATCCAGATAGATTTATTTATCCAGTCACAAACTGTATAAACTGGCGAGCAGAGCAATAAGCAAGCCACAGCACCCACAATTTTGGTTTTCATGCCAAACTGAAATACAGCTTCTACAGACAGAGACCATACTTCTTCTACTACATGAGGTTTTAATCATGTTCACTACATTTAAATTACAAACCGCAAATATAAAAACATAATATTGTTTTAAAGTTTTGCTCAGAATTTGTCATCAATTTAAAGCTTTTCATCGAATTTTCCGGGGTAAAAAGTATCTGAACTTAATTGAATTCACATTATCAGTTCACAAGAGTTTTCCACAAACTACCAGTGGCAGGTCAGATGAATACTGGAACGGGACTGGGAACTGTTGAGTTTCTCTATAAATGTTAAGGTCTTGACCTTATTATGTTTTAATTTGTCCCTTAAGATTGAACTGCATTGAATACCTTTTATTCAATACCTGTGGATTTTTTTGTGTGAAGCACTTTGTAACATTGTTTAGATAAGAGCTATACAAATAAAGTTATTATTATATTATTATTCAGTCACTGAAACTCTATCACAACAGAGCTTAAGAAAAGGAACACACGTGATTTCTGATAAAAAAGTCAATGATCAGTCTCAGAGTGTCCTCAGATGCTGGCGAGACACAGTGAGGCGTTGGTGCCACCAAATCCAAATGAGTTTGTAAGGGCGACCCGTCTGCCCTGAGTCCGCCATGGCTGCGCTGTGCAGGGAACATAATTCAGGTCAAACTCTGGCTCAGTGCGATCCAGGTTGAGAGTCGGGGGCAGGACCCCATGGTAGCAGGCCAGTGCGGTGAACGCTGCCTCCATGGCCCCCGCAGCCCCAAGCAGGTGTCCAGTAGCTCCTTTGGTAGAGGAGACGGCCAGGCTCTCGACACTTTGCTGGAAGAGTCTTTTGATGGCTGCATTTTCAGCCGCGTCACCCAACGGCGTGGACGTAGCGTGAGCATTCACGTATGTTACATCTGCCGGGGAGACGCCAGCATCTCTGAGTGCTGCAGACATGCACCTATGGAGACAGTGGTCAGACAGTTAGAGGGCAATTCAAGAAATGAAAAATGAATTCTCAAGAAAAGCCTAATAGAAACAAACAATCAGACAGGTTACATGACCAGATGTCTACATCTTTATTTGGAGGTGATAATAAAATCTGAAGAACAATTCCTCCTACAGGGGTTGTCCTCAAAACTACAGTGCATGAGAGTTGAGGTGGAAAGTCAGTCTGTAAACTGTATTGATGCTCACAAACAACAGACTAGGGAATTATTATTTTACCATTCCTCTCTTTGCAATGTCGCTGTGTTCCTTTCCCTCAGTAATTGAAGATGCACTTTGTTTCACTTACATTTCTGTTAATTGTCTCATGTTTGCTCTTACATTAGACAAAGAAAAACTATATAGTTCTGAAAACCCTAAAATGAGTCACCTGAATGCCCCATCCCCATCTGCAGTGGGTGCAGTGATGTGGCTGGCATCCCCAGAGAGTCCATAGCCCAGGACCTCTGCATAGATCCTGGCTCCCCTCTTCATTGCATGGTCCAGCTCCTCCAGCAGGAGCACAGCAGCTCCTTCACCCATCACAAAGCCCTCTCTCTCTGGGTGAAAGGGTCTCGATGCCAGCACAGGGTTGTCATTCCATTTGGTGGCGAGGGCACGTGCCCTGGCAAACCCAGCTATTGACAGAGGCCCTATGCAGGATTCTGTTCCCCCTGTAACCATAGCATCCGCATCCCCGTGAGCAATGAACCTGGAGGCATCCCCTATGGCGTGTGCACCTGTGGTGCATGCTGTGGACACAGCATGATTAGGACCCTTTAATCTGTGTTTGATACTTATATGGCCAGCGGCCATGTTGACAAGGATGCGGGGCACAAAGAACGGGCTCACTCTGTTGTAGCCCTTATCCTGGAAGACAGCTGAGGTGCGAGCAATCTCATCCAGTGCCACCATGCCCATGCCAACGGCCACCCCAGTGCTGAGCTGTTCCTCTGGGGACTTGGGGTACCAGCCAGAGTCCTCCAGAGCGAGCTGAGCAGCTCCCAGGGCCATCACAGTAGCTGGGGACATGCTGTTGATCTCCCCGCGAGAGGCAAACCTCTCCACGTTAAACTGACCCTCTTCAGTCCCTCTGGTTACCAGAGCGGCCACTTTACAGGGAACCGTCTTGTACTCCTCAGAGTCCAGAGCAACAATCCCACTGTGGGCTTTAATCAGATTGTCCCAGGGCAGAGCAGTCCCTGTGCCCAGAGGACACACCAACCCTACCCCGGTGATCACAACCCTCCTCCTCCTCTGCTGCTGTCCTGAGCTGTGTCGTCTGGAGGGTTGGTTTGGACAAACAGAGGAGCTCTTGTGAAGAAGTGCCCTCATGGTGCGTGGTCTCAGTTTGGTCCAACAGGACAGAGGCAGGGCGGACATGTTGTCGTCTCTGTCAGGACAGTTCGTCTTCAGCTCTGGTTTAAATATGAGAGAAACTCGTTTACAAAACTAAAGCTGAAATATGCGGATCAACACAACTCACGTTTGCTACTGACCGACACTGCACCGCTTCAGTCACTGTGGAAACATCCATATGACAGGACAACCAGGGCAGCCGTCAGTCTGCCTGTGACTTTGAATCGTCGGCAACCCTCTTGAACTTGTATATTTTCTATATGAAATCAAGTGAGACACAAAAGTATTTAATTCAAATCAATTATAGAGGAAAATGATGAGACAAACAATTATAAGCAATAGTTTAAAATCTACAAACGTGCAGGCATTGTTGGGGCAGCTTCACCGAGGACCCACAACATCAAGTTAGCAGCTAGTGTTAGCGTTAGCTGTCACAGTCCAAAACTGGACGGACCGGTGTGTGGAGGAAGTAGCGATGTCTGTGTCCCCGGCTGTCACCACACTGTGTGAGAATTCCAACGAAGTCTTCCTGGACGTCGCCAAGTTGTTGCTTACATATGCGGACAACATTATACGGTAAAGCTGTGAGCTCCCCGGCGGGTCAGTGGAAGATGTGTCATGCTAAGCTGAGGCTGTGATAGAGGGGGTTCTGCACATTCCACACATGAAGCTAGCTAACATCATTCCCTGGCTGTCAGTCTGAATGCCTTGTAAGGTCAGATGTACCTGTGTGCTGGTGTTCCGCCAAACTCTGTGAAACAAATGAGCACTTGCACTTTGCCCCCCCCATGTCTTGACACTGTTAATGGATAGACGCCCTTTCTCTTCATCCTTCCTACATCACTTCGTTTTCTGGCTAATTCGGCAAAGCGATAATTACGAAAAGCAGATATAAGATGGGTAACATGTCAATAATCAACACCCTGAGTCTTTTAACATAAGTGGTCGCACTTGCTCTTTTGAGTAGAGTCGATGTTTTCAGCAAAATGTCTGATTTTGTTCAGTGGTATTTAAAGGTACAGTGTGTAGAGTTTAGTGAGATCTAGTGTTGAAGTTGCATGTTGCAGCTGAACACCCCTCACCTCACCCTCTCCTTCCAAACATGAAAGAGAACCTCTGGTAGCTTCAGTTGTCATAAAAACTCAAAAGGTGTTTAGTTTGTTCAGTCTGGACTAATGTAAAAAACATGGCGGCCTCTGTAGAGAGGGTCCCCTCGATGTAAATATAAAGTATTTAAATATAAAGGACCTTTTCTGGGGTGAAGACAACTACAATTCATACAATTTAGATGAAATTAAACATCATGAGAATTATTCTACATTCAATTTCTGCCAATAGATCCCTTTCACCTAAATCTTACACACTGGCAAATAGGTAACGCAGGATAGTGCTGACAATAACAGACGCACGTATTCATGTAAATACTCCACCTATAATGTGTGCGTGTATTGTCTATTAAATAATTGCATCACTTGCTGGTTTGTAAAAATGACATTTCTCTAAAGCCATAGAGGAATAAAAGGTGTTTCCTGAAAAGCCTTGAAAACAAATGATGCCACCTCCCCACAGGAATCCAAATGAGGAAAAGTACAGGTCGATCCGCATAGGAAATCCTACTTTCTCCACAAAGCTGCTGCCCGTCAAAGGAGCTGTGGAATGTCTCTTTGAGATGGGATTTGAGGAGGTAAGAACCTGCCTGGTTGCTACAGAAGTTAAAATCCAGATATCCTGTTGTATTGCTTTGATGCCTAGGGTCTAATTGATCACCCATGGCCTAACTGAATAACTTAGACCCCAGTCAGACCTGGTATTACATCCATCCTGACTGAACCCCTCACAAGTGGTTAATGCTAAGTACAAGTCTAAACACCCAAATGTGTCCTGAATGCGTCCTATGATCCAATTATTCAGATCATAGTTGGACTTGTTCTGGGGTGCATGTGGCCACATTCTTTTCACTGTGTGAACGCAAATAGGCCCTGGGCCACATATGAAGGACCGCCTACTCAGCTGACACCCTCTGACCGGCTACAGTTTCTTAATGAACCAAATGTATTTTTTACACTTCTCTGTTGCATGCACTGATTTGCTTGTGGCAAATCAAAACTGATCTCCGCATAATGATTGATACGTTTCTTAAATTGATCAAATCTTTCTTAAAGATTCAGTCAGCCCCTCATGACTCCTTTCTGTCTCATTCTGTCTCCCACTCACTTGCTTGTGCAGACACACACACACGTTCCAACAAAAAAACAGTGACATTGGACACATCTGTATATTCAGACTGGGTAGTCTGCAAACCTAAATGACAGGTTGTGATTATTTGCATATAGACTGGGAAAGTGAGATCACAGGAGACACATTGTTCAGGTGTGAACAGACAAATTTAGCGCTAACCACTTGTGGTAGGATCTCACAGGACGGATGTTATTGGAAGGTCTGAGCAGAGCCTAATACACCCAGTTGCACCTTTTTTCAGGCTGAGACCCACCTGGTGTTCCCCAAGTCTGCATCAGTGGAACAGCTGAAGCTCATCAGGGAATCCATAGCAGCAGAGAGGTATCAGAGGCTACAAGGAGGACAGCCTGTCCAACCCAGAGCTCAGGTTGCTGCAGCCTCAGCACCAGAGAGCCTTGCTGCTGTTGCTGCTGTTGCTGCTGCTACTACTCCTACTGCACCTACTGCACCCAGTCAACCGATTTTACCACCTCCATCACAGCCATCATCCCTGGTAAATATGTGCCCAGTCCCTTTAAATAACAGAGGCTTTGACTGCTTTCAGCTGCAGTATCATCACAACAGAGGCTGAACAAACCAACTCTCATATATCCATTTTTGATAAGAAATGAGAATATGCAAATGTCAGGGACATTTTGTTACAAGCTCCAGTGAATGCAATGCAGGATTCCAGATAAGGAAAAGACAGTGATATGACTTTGCAGCTTGTCCAAGCCCTGTTCCGTATGCATTGGTAAATGGATCAGTGAATGAAAAAGATTTCATTGTCTGTTATTTGGATTAATCACCATTGTAGTATGTTATAAAGAGCATCTTAAACACCATACTTTAAATGTGAAAATCATGATGGAGTACATTCATTTATTTAGTAGCTCTTTTTTACTAAGTATATGGTAACAAGGATATTTGACTTTCATATGCCATACATTTAACACTTGCTGATTCTTCTAGAAATGTGCTCATGTCAGTAAGATTAGATATTATTCCATAAATTACATTGCCACTTTAATTCTTTGTGCTTTCTTGCTTTTCACTTATAATTTTATATTGGAATGGCTTTTTTTAAATAACTTTCCTCCGGTTCTTTACATCTCTGAAGAACAACTACCGTAAATATACATGAGTGATTTTGATTATTCATCTTGGTTGGTGAATGATGTTTCCTTGTCTTGTGTCAGGAGAACAGTATGAGCTTCTTCGTGACTCTCCAGTCAAACTTCCAACATGTGATGATGTATGAAAACCCTGAGCTGCTGCAGAAAGCTCTGAGTCACATCCCTCACCAGCAGCTGTCATCTGCTGCTCAACACAAGCTGAAGGAGGCTAAAGATGCTGATTCGGGTGAAGTCCCCTCACTCATTTATTTAGAGCAATCAGTTATACTCTACATCTTTATCTTACTGTTTACACATATAATCAGAGAGGCTAAAATGACATGCTGTCCTGTTCGTAGATTGTAAAATTGGAATAGAAGACTTCCTGGTGCTGGAGTTACTCAGGTGGTTCAAGCAGGAATTCTTCTCCTGGGTGGACAGTTTGCCATGCAGCCGCTGTGGAGGTCCCACAAAGAACGCCAGCGCCCTCAGTCCCAGCACTGATGACCTGCGCTGGGGAGCTCAGCGAGTGGAGAACCATTACTGTCAGCGCTGTCAGCTCTCCACAAGATTCCCTAGGTGAGGTTGTTTAGGACAACTTTTTAAGGTTAAAATTAATATTAGGTTGCAGAATGACATTGTGTCATTTCTTCCTCAGAATTTATTTTGTAGTAATTCACTGTCAACACATTTTAAAATGGCAAAAAATTATGTTTCCTGTAAACAGGAATAGAGTATGAATGGATTTGAACACAACGCAGAATATACTGTAATTTATTGCTTGCATGTTTTCTCTACCAGGTACAACAATCCAGAGAAGCTGCTGGAAACCAGGAGGGGGCGCTGTGGGGAGTGGGCAAACTGTTTCACCCTGTGCTGCAGAGCCGTTGGCTTGGAAGCCAGGTATATCTGGGACAGTACAGGTATGTACATGACTGACTGTTGTGGCTCTTGCATCACTTATTAGATTAAACCAAAAGTTTATTTATACAGAGAAATGTGTAACCCTCACAGAATGTGTTGATAAAGAGTCCTCCCAGATTCCTCCCATATATTCTTTACTTATTTTATGAACCACAAAGATGAGTTTGAGTGTTTCGTTAGGACCTGCCTGAATGAATTAAAGGTTCTGTGTTATTTCAGACCACGTGTGGACAGAGATCTACTCAGTCGCTCAGCGTCGTTGGCTGCACTGTGACTCGTGTGAGAATGTCTGTGACAAGCCTCTACTTTATGAGGTTGGCTGGGGGAAGAAACTGGCCTACGTCCTGGCTTTCTCTAAGGATCAGGTCAGAGAAATTGATGCAAACTGCTATTACTACATTATTACAACACCATCTAGCTCGCCCTGACTGGAACTCAATATATATATTGAGTAAACCTCCATATTTACTTCCTCTAAGCCTTCTTCGCTGCCTTTATTGGTCAATTGCTTAACACGTTGATGTGGTTTGCAGATCAATGTGTGTCATTGGCAGGAATCTGTTAGTGTGTCTACATGTGTATCTTCATGCACTTGCAAATGGTCACACAGTTGGATGGCAGAAGGTTTGAGTATAGAATAACTTGCTCTATTTATGTATGAAGGTATTTTATACAGGGATTGGAATGGAGTCTTATCACAGAATACTGTGAATATGTTGATACTAAATATCAGTGCAAAACATGCTTTTCATTTCTTTAAAATATCCTATTCATTTTTTGTCCGATTGACTGATCACTGGATGTTGTTGTTCAGCATTTATTCTCTTATAGGGTCCTGTACTTACATGTGTGTGTGTTTGAGATGCAGGTGGTGGATGTGACGTGGAGATATTCCTGCAAACATCCAGAGGTTTTGTCGAGAAGGACCCGTGTTCAAGAGGCGTGGTTGCTTCACACCATTAACGGGCTCAACGACTCAGTAAGTCATAACCCTCCTGACCATGTATTTAAAAGTATTCCTGTGGTGACTCTGCTGTAAGCCACCTTCTGTCTGCTAGAGGCAACAGGTCCTGAGTCCAGGCAGGAAGAAGGACCTGACGGAGAGGCTGCTTGTTGAGCTGGTGGAGTTTATTTCCCCAAAGAAGCCGAAACAAGGAGAGCTGGGGGGACGCAACTCAGGCTCTATGGCCTGGAGGATAGCAAGGGGGGAGACCAGAGTGGCTGAGCCAGAGTCTTCAACACAGGTATAGTATATCCTATACATTATGTTGCTATGGATCTTACAATACTCAGCTATATGTATCAATTTTCAATCGACCTCCTCCCAACTGTAATATAAACAGGCCATAAAAATATATAAAAGAAAATTTGGCCTTGAATCGGTATTGTGCTTTCAATATGTATTCACAATATATGCATGATTATATCCCATGGTCAGGCGTTGGGAAAGAAGTGTGGTACACCCTCGCAGCCAGTATATCACAGGGCCAACAACCATTCACTTTCAAACCTGCAATCAATTTGAGTGTCCAATTAATCTAACCCGACATGAACTTTGGAAGAAAGACAGAGAAATATAAATATTTCTTTTGGCCTTATACTCTGGGAGGAAACCAGAGTACATGTACAGAAAAGCTCCACTGGGATTTAAACCGGGAACCTTCTTGTTGTGAGATTACGGTGCTAACCACTGCACAACCAAGCCAACCCTATGGGATTATCATATGGCTTTTATTTCTATTATTAACACTTGGTAACAGTCCAATTGGTTATTATAACATTTTACCTGGTAACTGCAAAGATTTTATAAAAGAATATGGTCACTAAAAATAGGTCTAGACTGGTTGTAAACAGAAAACAAGGTGAACTGTGGAATCTTACCCTAAACTTTCTTTTGTAAACATCCAACAGATGTTACAGACCCACTTCCTGTTTTCATTTGCACTGAGGGGTTGTTACAAACACTTGGCCTCCAAGTGGTGGTAGATTGTGGCAATATAAGGGTGCTTTCCTTTAATTAAATGAAAATTGCATGAATTACATATTGCTGAATTCACTTGCTGTGGGTGGCACAGCATGTGACCAACGTGCATGCTGATACTCATGCAGCAACAATTTACAAAAATCCTCTTAACACCTCACACTCAGACTTTTGGTACAGACTCTCTAGTTGGCTGCACACAGAGAAGCCTGTGGTCGCCAGTCAAATCCATGGATTTTAGTGGTAATATATGCCCAGTTGACAACTGTTGTTATGTTCAGTTTTTTTTTTTTCAGTCTGGAAGTTAATATTTGCTGTTCAGTTGTATTGCGTTCTACTGAATGGTGTTCCCTTATATTTACTCTATCACAACTGATATAATGACTTTGGGTGGACACTGAGTGAAGGAGTTTCAGCTCAAACTAAACACAAAATCAATAAATAAGGAATCAAACAACTTTATGAAACACCACATAAAAACATTTTTATAAAATAATGTTCTATTTAATAGTGTAATATGTCCAAGGTTGATGGTTGAATTGCTTGATGTCAGATGACAGTGTGTGCATCTGTGTGTGTTTTTCTCAGGCTGTAGGTTACGTGTTTACTCCCACTGAGAAAGAGAAGAGTGACCGGTTGCTGCACGTGTGCTACAGTGCCACCAAAGACCAGTACTGTCGACTGTCCAACAGCTCTGACGTAGTTCAGGGTTGGGATCAGTGTGTGTGGAGGAAGGAGTCGGTCTTCAGAATGGTGGAAAATGACTGGCAGATGGTATGATCATTAACAAAGTTTTCATTTCAGATATTTATTTCCTATATTCTATGATTTGTAATAATACAAGTATTCTTAATCATTTCAAGGTGGGGGACTTTTGAAAATAGTGTTGGCTTCAAATGTAGCCACTCTAATTTCAATTCAAGCCAACTCAGCCACAGTTTTGTTTTATTCCTTCAGTGACAATAATACAGTATATAGTATAATTAAATTAAAGAGGAATTCAGTAATGACGTGTTAACATTTTTTTTGTGTGTTGAAAGTGATATTTCTAGATTAATTACATATTAACTCAGTCTCAAAACAAGTCCTGAAAGCTGTAACTCAGCTCATCAAGCCTAATCTATAACTCTTTAAGAGCACTGCACTAATTAAGAATCAGTTCAGCAAAACACATGTGACAAAGTGGAAAACAATCTTGCCCAGAGCCTAAAGTAATCGATGAGCTTGTTTTATCATGCCTCAAGTCCAAAACCCAAAAAATACACTGTAATGACGGTAAATAAAAGAAACTATGCAATATGTCAGTTCAGTCTCATTACCAGTGAAAAGAGGGTAAAACATCAGCATCAAACAAGCACTTACTCACACAAGATGCTTCTGGCAGCTGTTGTCTTGAAACATAAATATAATTTATTTTGACTATGACTAAGATATGGAATATATTACAAATATCTCGTTTGAAATAAGCATACTACTGTAAACTTCTAAGGGAATACTGGGGGTGAGAATAAACTGTGGACTGATGTGTCTTCATGCAGCTCTATCTGACCTAATTGTTTTTCTTTGGTAAGGTGTACATGGCTCGAACAGAAGGCTCCTCTGTGGGACGAATGAGCTGGAAGTTTGATTTTGCTGCAGTGGGAATGAAGATAAAGTCTGTCTCGATCAGAACCATCAGCCAGACCTTCCACACGGGGAAAGTCTGCTGGTCCTTGCAGTCAGGCCAGACTACTACAGAATTCTCTGGAGGTACAGTCATGCAGTAAATCCTCAGATAAAGTTATCACAATGTTCCTCTATGACAACATCACCTCCCCTCGATTTGCTCTCCTCTGTTTGAACCATCAGATGGGAAAATGCAGTCGTTCCCCAGTTTGTCCGGCTCGTCAGACTTCTTGGTTGTAGCAGAACTCAGCGGCGGAGAAGGGGAGGTATCGTGGCAGCACTCTCAGCTGTTCAGACAGAGCCTGAAGGAGTCAGAAGTGTCTTCGTTTGAAATCCTCATCCACCTAGAAGATGCCTAACGGTTTATATACTCAACAAAACTGGACCTATAATACTTTTTCACTCTTTGCTGCTCTGATGAGTTCAGTGGTAACTGTTTGAATTATAGTTAGAGCTCTAAAATTTTAAATCTAAATCAGTACAATGGGTGTCTGCCTACAGGGATTGACAGCAACAGCTTGGGCTATCACAGATTATGCACATTTTAATCTTTGAAATGCCTAAAACTCTATAGCTGTTTTCCGACATGAACTCTTTAAAATGTCCACATAATTGGGTCTGGACCGAAAAGTCCAAAGGCTCATACATTTGCATTCTCACACTTCGCCCCTCTGGAGAATGTTGGGAGATTCTTCTGAGTTCAGTTTGTCTGCAAGCAGCTTATGAGAGACATTGATTCTGAGATAGACTTGTAAAGAATTTTGACCATGAAGCCATGGAGATTTGTAACCTTTCTGTCTGTAATTTGTGATTTGGGGACAGATGTCACACAGCAAACCATGTGTTGAAAACCCTCATCAGCTCAGGTATCGCCAGTTCTCCTGTTAGAAATCATGTTGAGTGTGTTACTATTCACACAATACGTGTTATTGTCTTTACAGTGCTATGGTTTTGTTATATCTCATGGATAATTGTGTGCGTAATGAAGAATGAAGCAGATCGCTGTTATTATTGGTGTAATGCAAATAATCGTTGTTAGGAAATTGTCTGCTGGTATAATAAAGATATTTTTTGCAGTCTGGTGTTTGAATCGCACTGAAGCTGTCACATCCACAGACTATAACACCACACCGCACGGTCTGGGCTTCACTGGGGTTTTGCCGCCATCTTGCGTTGAACACAAACAGACCTATTTGTATAAAGAGTCATTAAAGGTCCACTCCTCCGATTGGCCGGAGTGCCGGTGTCTTTGAAAAGCAGCCGCCTGATTGGTCAGTGGATCCTGGCGACGATTCGCTGTCTGTCTTGCAGATGGCGGAGCCGGACGGCGGATGTAGCTGCTAGCTCACAGTCGTTTTCATTTCTAAATGAAAACTATTTAACTCGGACGTTTCCGGAGCAATTCAGTGAAACTCATGTTCAATTCCGTGGAGCTTTCACGTTGAATCGCGCAGTCACACACATGCGCTTTTGTACAGTATTTATTTAGCAGCTGGCAGCCGCGTTAGCATCTTTGTTGAAGTTTGGGCCTGCTGTGCCACCGCTCGTCGATTTTAACAATAGCCGCGACACACTCCCCTCCTCGGCTTGTTTTGAGACGTTTAACAGGATTACCCTCACTGCAGACCAGGGCACAACATGGGAGACGAGCAGCTCCGTGTCGCCTTCAGCCACTGAGACCTTTGTTATGCGGATGGACTTTTGACTTCCCTGGAATTGAAAACGCACCGCGAGCAGCATCACTACAGAGACGAGGATCACAAAGGAAGATGTCCAACGGCGCAGCAGGAAGCGGGGCTCTGGCTTGGTTGGTAAGTTGGTTGTGGTACACAACTTCCTCAATAACTTCTGTTTTCATGATACAAGGAGTTTTTTTTTTTCCGAGACAAAGCATCTACTGTGTTCGTGCACGGTGCGGCGCGTTGCTACAAGCTGGAGCTAGCATTTAAATCCCCTGTGTGTCCGGTCCAGTGAAGAGCAGACAGCTGCGGTCTCCATTGATATTCATACCGGGGATACAAAGGGCCACAGACAACAGCTGATCGGTGCAGCGTCCTCGGGTTTCTGGGGAACACTTCAACACATCTGCAGCTTCATGGAGCCATAGTTTACACCTTCCGAATAAAGTTTGTTGTGACGCCAAAATGTTGCGTCCATTTCAAACTCACGGTGATCTGTAGGATTGAAACAGCCTTAGACGGAAGAACCTCGCGGCATCGCTGATAATGTTAGGGACACTGTTTCTGATAGTAAACACACAACGAACGGAGCCGCTCATCGATACGAACCTGGTGTTTTTATTGTTCCCCGGTGGCTCCTAAACGCACCACGTCGGCCGTCAGCAGCGCAGTTAGTTTGTAAATGACTTCAACCAAACATCTACTCAGAAGACGATCTCAGTCAAACCGAGGGAGGATACGTGCAGTTGTTATTTGTAACGATGTGCACTTTATGCACGAACCACGATGGTGACCCTGACCCTCTTTATCACAGAATCATTCACACTTCACCAGCCCTCTCAGATCCCTCTCAGGTTGACAGGCTTTGAGTACCATCCATCTGTCAGCGAGTGCTCAGCATCTGCTGATATTAACACCATTAACTGCACTCTTAATATGGACAGTAAGAGGATAGACACGTGCTGAGCGATGGCTTCTATTGTTCAAGACAAAATCAGAGTGCTTTGCTGGAAGGCACCGTGAGAAAATGCAGAAGCATTAGGCAATATAAAAAAACATCTTAGAATAAATTGGAGAAGGTGAATTTGTAAAATAAATAAGCAAATTACATAAGATATTCAAAGGAAAATGTAACAGTGCAGACGGTGTAATTAATGAGTAATTATTAGATTTTAGAAAAGGCTGTGGCGAACAGTGAAGTCCTCAGCATTGATTTAAAAGAACAGGCAGTTTGCAGACCTGCAGCTCTCTGGGAGTTTGTTCCTCAAATGTGCAGCATAAAAACTGAACGCTGCCTCTCCATGTATAGTTTTGACTCTGGGCACAGAAAGCAGACCTCAGGGCTCTGGGTGGTTCGTAATATAGTAATAATATACCAGAGGATCAGAAATATATATTTTTTGGAGACCTATAAACCAATCACTGTTGACAAGTGGAGATATTAAAACATATGGATATCCTTTCCAAGTTATTTAATCCTCTGTATGTTATGTTGATAGTAGGCTGACTTTGTAATTGTGTTATTATGGCTATTGAAGTTCATGTCTGAGTCTTGGTTTGTGGTTTTTAATTCTTCCGACTGAAGCTGAGCACTGATTTTAAATCGTCCTGTCTCCAAAAACAATGACCTCAGTTTTATCCTTGTTTAACCAAAGACAAATCTCAACACATTCCAGCATTGTAGTTGTGAGACTCTCGCAGGTTTTATTTTGGACTGTGTGGTGGAGAAAAAGAACCCCTAAGCTCACATGCGTCTTTTATATCTTGTCTGAAGGACTTTTTTTTTTTTTTACATCTTAGAACACTTGCCTGATGTACTTTTGCTTTGCACATAGAGCATTATCATACATGAAGACAAACTGTGGCATGCACATGCTCGGCAGGTTTTTCTGTTATGTGCGTAAAACATAAAAAAAACACTTGATATTAAATCTAGTTTTTTATTTTCATTAATAATTTAAAAAACAATTTGGAAATCTTGCAGCTAAAAGTCACCAAGACTGGGAAGATATTTAATTTTCTCGAATACACTTGGGTTTAGATTAGAGAGAGAGATTGAAAGGGCACTTCGCTAGGAACCTTATAGCCCTCCACCGTCCAACAGTCTAGTGGCCAGTACTCTGCTTCTTTTATCTGTCACCAGAATCACTGTGAAGCCAACGAGAGGACGAGGCCTCCTCCCTGTGGTGGTGAACACTGATAATCTGGTGTCAACAGCACAGTGTTTTCTCACAGGGCTCGGAGCTCAAACAGAGTCATGCATCTACTAAAAACTATAACAATTCTGTCAAACAGGAGGCAGCGAACGGCAGAGGAGATGCCAGCAAGATGGAAGGAGCCAAGAAAGAAAAGGCGGGCTCCAAGTTGTCTGTGGAGCGAGTGTATCAGAAGAAGACCCAGCTGGAGCACATTCTTCTCCGTCCAGACACGTATATCGGCAGCGTGGAGCCCATCACCTCGGTGAGTCCTGAGCAAACTGCTGTAGACATTCAGACGTTCATTGTCATTCTTAAACACTGAGTTAACTTGTGAGCTTTATGTTATCAGATTTTCTTACACCTGGGCCACACTGGCTGTGGTTTAGCTACAGAAGCAGCACTGCTCTTCTAGAGATTCATGGTCTTGCCGGAGCTGTTGACTGAAAATTTTCTTTCAGCACAGTTTCAACTTATTTTTTTGGAATTTGTCACAAATATAAATATTTAAAATATTTCCACTTCCTGTAGCCTACCTGTAAATGATGAATATTAGTAGTGTTTTTTATAACAACAACTTATCATCGTTGCACAACTAGACATCTTAAAGTCCCACAGAGCACTCGGCTGTGAGGATTTTCAGGTGCATGACAAACTAATGCTGTGGATGTTCCACATGATGGCTCACCATAGACCACAGCAATGTTTAGCCATTTGGCCAAGATGACACCAGCATATTTCATCATCTGTGATCAGTGGCTATGTGAACTGTGAAATGTGGCATTACACCAGCAGAGCCAGTAGACGAACACAAGGCAGACAAAATATTCCCTCCTCCATATGTGTTTGTGTTTTTGCATATTACCAGTCATGAGATCCCACAGAGCTCTGTAACCAAGGAGATGCTCCATTATCACATAGATCATTCGGAAGCCACAAATATTGTGAAGACATTTGAATATTGGATTGACACTAACATTAGAGATTTGTGCTCCTTCCTCGCTGAGGAGGAAAAAAAAACAAGACAGTGAAGCAGCATGTTGCAGTGAACAACTTCTCTGTAATGTCTAACTTCCAGCGTTAACAACTTCCACATGCTGAACATAGTGTGAGCATCGTGGCTTTGTTTGCAACAGCCCTCATGTGTGAACAAGTATAACTCAAATGATTCCAAATTCCAGGCCAGAAAGCAACTGCAAGGCTGTTGCTTGTACAGATGAATTATAGAACATGACTGTTATATCAGCCATTAGCGTTACATAAGTTCTTCCTTGATCGCATGGACTTAAATTTTACATGTGTTCAGTGCGCAGCAATGTTTTTAAACATGCACTGAACTCTGGAGAACCTCCGAACATTCTCACATACAGCCCCTCCAGAGAATGTTTGGGCAACCTGCTAATCAGAGAGAGAGCCTTTGGACTTTCTGCAGAGTTTCTTCAGCGAGCCCCTCAGTAAAAACTCTGCAGAAAGTCAGAACATACCAAGAGATCCTCTGCAGCATTCACTGTAATTAAATCAGTGTGTTGATGACTTTTCTAATGTGCGAAAGATGCGAAAACACAAACATCCCAGGATGAAAAAGCAGTGGTGAAGATATTAAAGGAGTTTTTGGTGATAAAGGTCGACACTGTTGTCGATGTTCTGTAAACAAAAACACATGATCGCCACTACGGAATTATTAGGTTATGGCCGGCCTCTGCATGCTGCACCACCCCTCACCTGAAGGCTCCGGAGATTTCTGTGCTGTTGTGCTAAAGAGAATCTGCAGCTGCGTTGTTCATGTGTGAAAGGCAAACTCCAAAAAAGACTGGACCCAATTCTGTGGACAGTCCTCTGCAGTACTTGTCTGAAATCGGCTTATGCTTACACTTGATTTCTTATTATTTTCCCAGCACTATAGATTGTCATGTTTTTGTTTCAGTCAGACGCTTTAAAGGGTTCTGTCTTGGCCCTTATCCCATCCTTCTGCCAAATTTCACAAAATATAATTGATTGTGTTACCCCACTGACAAACAAACAACCGGACCAGGTCAAAAATATAACCCCCTTGGCAGCGGTAACAACAGCATTGTTTAAATTCAGTGGTCAATTAATTTGTCACCTTTTGACAGAAAAAAATTGGTGGCTGGTTTTAGGACAGTAACTAACAGTTCCTTATTGAGTAATATGACTATTGATTGTCTGCATTTGTTTAGGGTG